GAATTTGCCTGCTTTTCTATATATCATAGGTCATTCCTTTTCACCAAACTGGCCATATATGAAACACAATACCTTTTATTTTGCTAAATTGTTTCTTCCAGAAAGCTATACTGTCTTGGCTGGTACAGTTTGATCTTCTGTTAAGTTACCTTTATTATTAAACTGTGTGCCTGAATTCCCATTTGAATTTGTCTGTCTCTCATTGATTTTTCTTCTGCCTTTGTTCTTTAGATAAATGCCCAGCATTTTCTGTCCCTTTGAGGTATTTAAACACTTCAATCATGTTATTTTTCAATCTTCTTTTTGATAAACTAAGCAGAGTGAGCTCTTAAAGTCTCCTACTTTAAGAAAATTTCCCTAACTCTCAGATCATGGTTTAGTGGCTTTGTTCAGTACCTTTCCTAATGCTTTAATATCCTTTTAAAACTTGGACATAGAATTTGATGCAATGTCCCAGAAGTGTTCTCATTAATATCATATAAAATAATAAGTGACCTTCATGCTTCTACTCACTCTTTCAATCTTTCCACACCACTGGATAACACAGTAGTGCAGTGAGAACTTTATCACAACAGTGCTGAGTTGTTCAACATGAATCTGAATCCTTCTTCAGACTCACTGCTTTCTCCAACTCTGCCCACATTCCCAATTCCTGTATCTCTTAATAGCCTTCCTCTGTCTGTTTTAAACTGTTCTACTTAAATGAACTGAACTTAAGAAATTTCTTGCCCTCAGCAATATTTATACCTCTGTCAATTTATTTTTTTTGCAATTCTTAGTTTTAAACCATTAATGATACTGTATTTTCTTTCTGGATCACAGATGTCAGTGCTGAACACCATTCTTACTACAACTCCCTACAGTAGCTTTTTGTCTGGAATTTAGGATGTGGGTACTGATCTAGAGAAGTTGCATCTTGGCTGTGCCAGGCTGCTTCTTGCTCTCTAACATTTATATCCCACTGTAAATGTCCTCAGCTTGACCTAACGCTTTCTGACTCAAATATGACTTTTCGTAAGTCATGGATGATCACAGACCTGTGATTCAGGATGTTTTCCTATCTCAGTCCCTGAAATTCCAACTTGACAGTCTTCAGGGCATGATGCAAAGCTCACCTCTCCTCAGATTTTAGGTGAACACTGGTTTGACAGACAGAATAGACCAAAGACAGGAGTAATTACAGTCCTGGTGATTCTAATTTTCTGTTCATGCCTGGTTTTGTATAACAGCTTATTTGGAACAAAAATTCTTACCCTAACTTTTGATCGTGTAGATTCAGCTGGCCACAAATGATTTTTTGAATATGTCATTTGACAACATTTTCCATTTTTTTCTTGATTTTTGTCCACTACTTTTGTTAACAAATTTCTTTTTAATTATTTGGCAAGGCTTAATTTCCATTGTAAAGATGTTCAGTACACATTCAGGAAAGTGAAATAAAGTACTGCTTTAAGTCTGAAATTGGAAAATGGTTTAAATCCTTATAACTGTTAGTGATATTTACCAATAGCCCACAGGAACAACACAGAATCACTACCAGGGCTAGCATTCTTGTTGGTAACTTTTCCTGTTAAAATATGAATAGCCCAGAAGACTGGGAGGTTATAACCTTTCTCCAATAAGAGTCTTCAGCAATGAGAAGCCGTTGTTGCCTCTACCTGTGAACAAAAATGTACAGCTTTTCTTCTCAGTAATTTAAAGTTGTGTGATGACTTTATGCTAATCACAAGTCTATTGTAGCTTACTTCCTAATGCACCACAGGATAAAAGTTTTGCTGATAGTAAATTCTTCTAATTCTGCCTGTTAGAAAATGGATGCACAAATTCTTTTAAAAAAAGTGACAGGTCAGAGTAAATTCCCTCTAGAGGTACACAAAGCCATTCCTGGACTTATGGAATAGTTGGGTGTCAAGGAGGAAGCTATGTGCATTAACACTAAAAGGAGCTAAATTCATACTTCATGAAGGGAGTGTAACTTTCTCTAACCACTTAGCCAGAGGCTTATTTTTCAGAGTCAGTCTACAATAAAACTGAAGAATCCTTACCATGCAGAATTAATTTTTATGTTAATCTGCAAACAGAAAACCTGTACTTTGCCAGGTAGGCCTTCCTAAAATCCACTACCTTACTCAGGTTTTACTATATTACCAAGTCTTGCTCCTTTTTAACTAGAAGAATATTCCACAAGTCAGCTCAGATAGATGAAAGTATTATTTGTCCAATAGTATTCTTGAAATACATGTTTTCTATTTAAGGTAATTTGAAAGGACAGAATTCTGCAGTGCTCAACCAGATTTTACTCAGTAACACACCAAGCTGAGAAAAAGGGAAAACATTCTTTGAAGAAATATTTAGTTACAGATTACAGCTGATTTCTACAATAAAACTGGCTTATACAAAATTTATTAATTATGCTGAATTTATTGTTTTCAGAAGCAGGCAATAAAATTATTTAAGATATTCTGAGAGTTTTAACTGACTAATGAAAGCAAGTATTAATGATGCTGTCATACAAAAAGGTAAATGCCACTTTGAGAAAATCCATAGTCACAGCAATTACTATTTTTCCTATTCAGCATTAGTTGCCTTAATTTCAAGGTACTCTATTCCATGGCAGCCTTTAAAAGTAACAACTACAAGTACAACAAAGAAAGATTTAGAAAAAGTTCAGTGAAGTGAATAAAGGACAAACAAACAAATTCTCCATTCAGAGAAAGTGATCAGAGAAAGATTAAGCTCACAATGAGCTTTTCTATATTTGTGTTCTGGAGAATTTATTTACGTCCAGAATAAAAATATAGGAGATAAATATCCTGTTGTGTCGGAATTCTATATACCCTGTGGAATAGAAATATAACTTTCTTATACAAGAGTATAAGAAAGAAATCTAAGTGTTTTATATATATATATATATGCATATACACAGTAACTTGATTGTCCTGCCTTACAAATAGATAAAATCCAGCAAAGTGTACTTGGACTCCCATATTTTATTTGCTTTATAACCACATAAGATGTTTTACAGAAATATAAATGACTACAAGTTGCAATAATGCGATGAATCAGATACATTCAGAATGATTGATAATGAAAATTATGCCAATAGGATAATTTGAAATTGAACTAGAAAAAGGATATGTTAAGTACTTACTTTCTCAGAAAGGGAAATACATTCTCCAGCTATGGGAAAAAATAAAGAACTAGGTTAGCTACTGAAGGAGACTAAAGAAACATTTTTACTGAAAGATAATACTGAAAGAGATACCAAAGTATTCAGAACAATTTAGAAATGTCCAACAATTCAGAAATTTATGAGCAATCTAGAAATATGTAAATCAACTTACATATAGAATAAACACGAGATAAGCAAATAAGCAGAAGGATTAATTTTTAACTCTCTGATTTCAGATAATACTACAATTAGAAGACTTAATTGCCAGTTTTAATTCAAAGATGAGCAAACCACAGCATTCTAGAGGTTTCTATGTTCATATTCTGTGCATGCCCAAATTTGGAACACTGAAGACTTAATATGAAATAGTCTTTTATTTAAGTTATTAAATCCAAATTTCAAATTTGAAGACAGATTTTTTAGTAGACCTTCTAAATGGAAGTTGCCATAAAACTGTAACTTTTCATGTCCTGGTTAACACAGTCTTGGGAGGAAAAAAAATGACATTGCCAATTTGCACTTAATATGGCATCTGCATACACACGTACCTGTATGGAATTTTTCTATTTTGGAAGTCCATCCATTGCTAACAAGCAAAGTTCAGCATCGTTTTTTTATGAGTTAGAAAATTCCGAAGGGTTTTACATTATTGCCTGTGTTTACTTCTAAACAAAGGCATATTTAAGCACTTCTAAAAGAGTGGATTGGCATTAATAGGAGACAATGAAGTGGGTAAGTAAAAGAGATTCACATCCTTTTGCAATAGATTTTTGACTCGAAGTCAGCACAAACAGGAAAAAGGTCTTTATCATTTTTGAGACTCCCAAAAGCCATGAAAGGTTTTAGTTGCACTGTGTATCACAATGTTACTCACAATTTTATTTATGTATGTATTTACTGACTGTATTGTTTTTTCAATCTGTTGGCCAGCACTCAAGTAAGCATTCCACAACAGTAAAGACCTTTTCTTTGGGTGCGCATGGCTGATCGCAGTGCCAATACTCTTCTCTCTTCACATGTGCAGAGCACACTTTAGAGTGTCAGTGGGAGTTCTGCATGCGCATGGAGAGGAGGCTATTGGAGATGACACTTACCATGTGGCCCTGAGATGAAAATTTTGCCCAAAAATAGTTCCTTCAGTAAGTGGTTGGGTTTTTTCCACTGCAGCAGTCACTTTTGTTTTAACAGAAAATGAACCTCTAAGAAAATGTTAAAGAATACCAGTTGCAAAGAGACTGATATATTGTGTTAAGTTTAAATATCAACATAAAACATTGGTTGGACAAAAATCAGTGGTAGTAGTACTATTCTATGAAAGACCCTTACTACTTTTTTTTTCTGATCTAGGCTTCTATTACAGCACACCCAGTTAAACAGACCAATCTTGGAATAGACTCCAAATTATGACATTGCACATGCACAGCTATTTGTGTGATGATATTATTTAAGTCTGTGATAATGCATTGATTACTGTTGACTGAAACTGTTATTAATCTTCAAAAGTCCTGAGGAAGAGGGAACAGCAACCTATAACTATGCAGCTTAGCAAAAAAAAATTTGCATATAAAATGACAGATATAAAAAGAACTTGGCGTTTCCATTTCTTTGCTACTATTATTTTTGAAGGGTAAACTAGCTTGAAAGGCAATCTTAGCTTTCCTATTTTCCTGTTCATACAAGAATGAACTAAGTGATTTACTGTGTAAAATTAAAGTTTCCCTAACAAAATCGCTAACAAAATGTTTTGTTTTGGTTTTTTGTTTGTTTGTTTTTCCTTGCTGTTAGCTTGGTAGCCACAAAGGAAACAGACAGTGCAAGATCTCGTAGCATGCCAATGTCGCCATCTGATTTCCTGGATAAGCTAATGGGTAGGATGTCAGGCTACGATGCAAGGATCAGACCAAATTTCAAAGGTAATTTCAAACCTAAACCTTCAGGTTTTCAGTATTTCAGTATTTCTTCTCACATAAATGCACTTTCTGGAATAAATGTGAAAATGAAGAAGTACACTCACTAAAAAAAAAAAGTGCCTTCTTTTGCCTTTCTTTGCTATGACAGTTCATTTCACATCTGCCCAACATTTCTTTTAGAAATTTAGCTTATCACTAGATTTGAATTGTCTAATATGGTTTCGGGGTTTTTTTTTCCCCTTTCCTGAAATGCTTATTAATGAATTCAAATTCCCACCTTGGACTACCATAGCCTGAAGCACTCCAGAAAGCAAGTTCTGTGAAAGAGAGGCCAAATCCTCATACCTGCTTGATCCTAACTAAAATGAAGAGTATGTTAATAATATAACCATCAGAGTCAAACTCAAGAGAGCTTATCTTAGTTACCAAATCTATCACTAAAATAGATTCCTCACTCCTGTGCCCCAGTTGTACTTTGAAATGGCAAAAGGGACTATCTTTCCTCTTGTTCCTTTCCCTGTTCTCGGTTCTCCACTGAAACTGCAGGTTCTCAATACCTGGAATTTTCTTGTGGTGTGTGCCTTTCATGCACTTATCACAAACGAGATTCAAACAAGACAAAAGAGATTCAAAGAAGATTGAAAGTCCAAAGTTTGCAAATGCAATGGTTACATCTTCTGAGGGTCTTAGTGCAAACCAGACTCAGGCATGCTGAAGTAGAGTAATTAATGAAGGGTTATACCAACTATATTATTATACAAATACACAAATTATTATACAGACAAATACCACCCATTCTAACTTTTGCAGTCTGGGAAGTTTATGTAAATTTGACTATACTTTTTTTAGAATGCAGAAAGTACCAATAATATACTGGAATTATATTTAACTCTATTTCTGAATCTTTAAATCAAGTTATCAGTCTTTAAATTCTCCAGAATATAATTTTTTTTTGAAGAGTAAACCTACTGTGATTAAAAATGATATTATTCTTAATTTGCCTTAGCTGTCTTCTCCTATGCCTATCTTCCTGAGTCCAAGAGATTCTCTTAGCTCTAACATTTCACTATAAGGCAGGTTTTACTCCATTTTTACTACAAAAATTTTCCTTCAGGAAGACAGGCCTTCCTCCTCTAAGTCATCTGTCACTGCCTTTCTACCTTAGTTTTTATGCAGCACTGAATTCTATAATTTTTTGACATTTCCAAGTCCCAGGAACTTAAGTGGTTATGCCTCTAAAGCCATTGCTATTTGCTTGTTTTGCCAGAATTTGCCCAGACTGATTCATAAGGACCAAGTAGTTCATCAAATTACTTCCTCATCAGTAAGCCATAAAAAGTTGGTGCTGTATATATAAACTTATTACCAAGGATTTACTGCAGCTGGAAATGCTTTGCTTTTAATAAGTTAGCGGTGCTGATATTTCTCAGGAAATGATAAACATGCACTGGAAATTCAAACTCATCCCTAAAAGATTTACAACAGTGATCAATATCCCTAATGACCATACAGAGTAAGTCCCTTGGCCTTTCCTTGCCAGAACTACTTTGAAGAATGTTCCAGTGCCTGGCTTCCTGGAGCATTAATGTATGAATCAATATTTGCAAAGTAATGCAAAGCACTGTATTTCTAAAATTACTTTCTTATATGGGTGGTAGCTCTTAAATTATTTTTGCTCCTTATTGAAGTTACCTTGACTTGTTGCCACAGTATACTCTTTAGCATGCAAACTGCAGGTTCAACCTAAGGTAAAGCTGTGCTGAGCAAAAGAAGACCTCAGGCAAAATCTAAGCACTGCAGTTTTTCTTCTTTCTTCTTTGAGTCTCCTGAAGTCCTACAAAGAAGCATTTAAAAATGAGGAGTTTATAGCTTAGCAGTTGATTTGGGGATTGGATTTTGGCGTTTGTCATGGACACCATGCAATCAGAGTCTTCTAATGGGGCTACAGTGAAGAACAGGCAGATGGTTTAGAGATTAGCGAATTCAATACAGTACTTCTTGAAAGTATAATTCAAAAGACTTAGAGCCTTGTTTTGTAACTGTTGAAATTTAGAGAGACAAAACCTAATTTGACATTGTTCTTTTTCAAAAAGTGCACATTCTAATTCTTCTAGACAGCTATGCAGTTTGAACAAATCTGCCCAGAATGATTCAGATCTATCACTAAGAATAAGTATCTCCTTAAGTGACTTTGCCACTTTCTGGTTAGTTTTATTAGTCCTAGAACAAGTGCTGGGGCTTAATGCCTTTTTTGAGTTTTTAATCTGGCAACAGTTTTAAAGAAACAGAATGAGTACTAATAAGAGAACTCAGGCATTTTAAATAATTTGTTCTTCCAATAAAATTCCTATGTAGACAAGATTTTTAACTACCAATTTTAGTTATAATTAATCTTGGTCAATAACATATAATTATATATTTTGTCTCAGTGCTCTGCTTTTGGATAGGGAATTCTGCATATCTCTTCTTCTTCAACAGAAATAATAGAGAAGACTGTTGGTATTTATTTAGCTATGGAATAAAATAGAAAATTAAGAACTCTTGTAAAATCTTTGTTCCAGTTGCAAAATACTTTTATTTCTGGTACATCAAACCTATAGCAAGGTCCTTCTCTTACTCAGCTGTTCGACAGACTATATCTGTTCCTGCAAATATAGGAAATACTTCACTGTCTTTCAAATTTGGACACAATTATGGAACCCATGTGTAAAAATTGTCATGGCCTCAGGGTGCCCAGAATTAACCAGATACAGAAGAGATGTTATATTTTTAAATCTGTACAGCCCAGGTTGCACCACTGATAACAATCTATTAAGGTGGAAATTTTGGGATTCACATAGGAAAGTGTGAAGTGTTCCTTGCCCTGGTATTGCCAAACACTATTCAGCAATCATCAGTTTAGGGATTTCTTAAGCTAGGACTTAACTGAAAAAGTAAATTTAGATAAGTATGTTCTTCTGATCACTTCTGGAAGCTGTTTATACTTTTGGCCTTTCCAGTATTTTATGGCAATAAAATCTTTGTGGTTTGGAATAGTGAAAAGTACCATTTTTTGTTTGCTTTGAATTTGGTGACTATTTTACAGATTTTATTACCATGTGACATACTGAGAAATGGAAGAAAAGGATTACTTCCTTTTGATCTTTACAGATTGTATACTTATATATCGCTCCCTACTGTATACCTTTTCCAATGTGAAGAGTCCTGCTCTACTTAAGGTGGTGTTGTGTGGCAGCATTTCATAGAATTTGTGATCCTTCTTTGACTACTTGAAGTCTCTTTTCTCCCTAATATATCTTTTTGAGGCAGACAGAGGAGAAATTTTGAACTATTCAGGATGGAAGTTCATGATCTACTTGCATGGTAGTCCATTTTTTTTTAATGTATTCTTTGCATTCTCCTATCTTTATTGATTACAGAGCATGCTTCCAGACAACCATCCCTAATTAATCTAGCCTCTCTTTCCTGCATGGAAGTCATTAATTTGGAGCCCCTCGGTAGGAGTGCATAGTGAAGATTATTTGGCATTTGACTGACGCTGAATTTCATCAAACATTTTATTGCTCAATAGCTCAGTATTTTGTGATTTTTGTGCACCTCCTTGCAGTCAACTTTATATACAACTACACTAAATAATCTTATAATAGAAGCAAAATTGTATTGCTATATCTTCTTTTCTAGGTCATTAATATTGAACTACTAAGATTCAGTTCAGATCCATGAAGGAACTCGCCAGCAATCACCTTGCACTTTGAAAAATGGCTATTGATTCCTAACATTAAATAACTTCAAAGCAAAAGGCCTAAAAGAGAACTGTCTCTCACTTCATCAAGACTAATATCCTTAAAAAGCCTTTGGCAAAAGATTATGTTGAAAAGTTTTTGAAACTCCAAATAAACTATTTTAATTAATTTAATTATATATTACAATTAAAATTAATATTTATTTAAGTTAATTAGATTGCCTTTGTCTACATGCTCATCAGCTCTTTCAGAGAGCTTCAGTAGATCTGAGAGATGTTATTTCAGCAAAAATAATATTAATCCATATCTGTTAATCCTAACAGTCTTCATCATTTCTACCAGTTTAGCTGGTACAGAGGTAAGGTTTACAGGGATAAAGTTCATTGTCAATGTCATCCATCATCATACCTGAAGTCTGGTTTTCTTTTTTAATTCAAGTTATACTTGCTGGACATGGCACACATTTCCACTGACAACAAAATGGACACAGGTGATATCTGACTCACAGTGATTCGTATTTCCACAATTTTGCAAAGATTTTTATAATGTCTGGCTTGATATCACCTCAGCCTGTCAGTTTGTTCCTGTTCACTTAGTCTGAAATGTCTTCTACAGTCCTCATACAAATCCTCCATCAGAATGGCTCCAGTATTTGACACAGCTAGCAATTGGGACAAATGCTGCTACAAAGACTTCATTTAGTTTTTCTGCTCTGACCTTCTTCACTTTCATGGATACTTTTATATCTTAATCATCTTCTCTTTACTTCACCTTCCAGATCTTGGCAGGATTCTGTTTTTAACATCTTGCAGATAGTTAGCATTGTTAGCTTTTCTGTCTCTAGTGTTTCAGCTCTATACTTTTCCTCCCTGTCTTTAACTGATGTTCAACTTGTCCAAGTTCCTGTGTTTGAATATGACTTCCAGTTTTAACATCTTCATTTATGCTTCTTCTTGACCATGTTTTGGGAAGTTCATTTTTACTCTCAGCACAGTATCTTTAAGTAATCTGTAAACCATCTGCAAGCTGCTTTTAGCTTCTCCTTTTATGCTTTTTTTAACTAGCCATTAACTATATTTTTGTAATGCTGCTTTTGAAATTAAGCATCAGCATTGTAGTGATTTAGGGCTTTTTCTTTATAAAAGCAACTGTGTTTGTTGATATAGCAAACTTACATTTTAAATCATAGTAATACTTTAAACAAGATAGTATCATACCAAATTTGAAATGATGACAAGTAGTACAACATGAAAGTGTTTGAAAGGAAAGCTACCTTGCAAACAAATTATCTAACATAGCCAGGAAGTAAAAATTTCTCCCTGACAGTTTCTAGTGACTCTGCCTTTGCTTGTCTCCCTTGCTTTTTCTTTTTCCCTTGATCCTTTTGAGGAGTTTTCAGAGTCAAGCTTTTACTGAATTCTAAGAAGTACTGGATATGCTCCACAGCTCTAAATAATTAACCAAGCATCAAAGCGAAAATAATGTAAAAGTGACTGCAGAGTGTTACCTCCTTACCTGAGAATTCTGCTCCATAGACGTAGTCTAGTGTATTACAATGACTGAAGTACACGTAGTGAGGTTTTGTTCCAGTTGCTATACAGTACTTCAAAACAATTATTGTCTTTAGGAAAGAAAGCTGGATCTTCCAAGTTGTGTCCTTTTGGCAGAATTTTTAATGGACGTTCTGATTCTTCGAGTATTTAATATCAATTTCATTGGTCACATTAGATTTTGCTAGTTGCAAACCACCAGCAGCAGCAGAGCAGCTTCTTAGTTCAGCGACCCTAAAGAAGAAATATTACATAAGGGTTTGTAAGGCCAGTTCTCAAATTCCAGATACAGATCTTTCATTATTAGTGACTGCTTACATCTGCAAAAAGAAACCAGGTTCTCCAATGCTGAACTGGGTTATTGATATAAGAATATTAAGGTGCAGGAGGGTGACAAAAAACCCTTGTGATGGAAAAACCTTGTTTCTGCTGTACACAGACTGAAGTTGATAAGAAATAATGGAGAAATTAGCATGCTCTACCATAACGCCATTTTTACAGAGACTTTCAGAGAAATAATTTAAAACCTTTTCCATGAAGAGACAATTCATTGTTCAGTTATCATAATGACTACTCTGCCACTACTGGTACTTCACAAATGCAAGATAAGACAGAACAACAGTTGACTGAAGACCCATGGTAACAGAAAGTTCAGTTTAAATAGATTCCTAACCATTTTGTGGATTTAAGAGAAATGAGAATGGAATCTAAGTCATTCTTTCTTATCCATATTTGTTCCTTTAAGCAGTAGAGATAAGAGCAGCAATAATGTATTTCTGTTACCAGTGATGACAGATAACATTAAAGTAGCATCTGCCTTGAGTGAAAAAGGTCACTTTTCCCCCTAATTTTTGTGAGAAGTGACATACATTGCTCACTGAAACACACATAAATATACTTTCTACTATATATTTCAAATGGGATGTTGATTTTTTTGCATACAATCATCTGTGCAAGTTTATAATGAACTTTCTCCCTTTTTTTTTTATTGCTAGAACTGGCCAGTCAAGCAGTAATTATTAGAAACAATTCAATTTAATTGTGCATTAAATAAGTTGTGAATGTAGCATTATTTCCTCCTAAGTCAATAAACATTGTTTCATAATGGTTTATATTTTACAGTCAGCCAATAAGCAATGATTCTGGAACAGGGACTGGTGTCTTTTTTTCTTTTGCAGGCCCTCCAGTTAATGTCACATGCAACATATTTATAAACAGCTTTGGATCCATTGCAGAGACAACCATGGTAAGATATTTTACCTCAAGCAGTGTTTAAAGTTCAAGTTAAATATGTTCAATGAGCCCAAAAGCTAGCTAGGGCTTCTCTTCACCTGGAACTAAATGAAGAAGGAAACCCGCTTCTGAGAATAGAAAGTGAGAACATTTAATTTGGCAATTGATTTTTCTAACAGAAAATTCATCATTATACCATCAGACACACATGTAAAAGTAAAGCCAAAGGTTGTCTTTTTTATTTCTCCATAAGTTTTATTTGACAGTTGTAATGAACTGATTCTTTTCAATTAGATAGGTATTAGTTTCTACGGTGTTCCACCTTTCTAACCTCAAAAATGTCAATTCATGAAGTTGCTTTGTTAATAATATTTTATAATTTCATTATATACAGTGCATATGGGGATGTAGACTTTGTGTTAAAAGTCCTTCTTCCATAGACCTATTGCACAGAGATAATAGAATAAAACGGTGAGCTTGTATATAAAATTTCATTATGAATACTAAGAGTGCGATAAATATAAGTGTATTGCACTCTTTTTGTACATACACTTATAATTTGTCTATTAAAGAAAGGCAAAAGATAGAGTACAAAAAGACTGGAGATTTTAAAAAAATAAGAAGAGAGATCAAAGTCTAAAGACAGTAAAACTAGATATTGAACCATAAATCCATAAAAATAACTTGGATAATCTTGTTTAACAAGTGAAACATATATGCTAACAACTTGGAGCACAGATTTACTCATTAAAATTTGGTGAGAGAGAAGATATAGGCATTCTTTCTCCATACAAGTGCCTCACATATTTTTAAGAAAGGCAAATAAACACCTTTGAAAACAGCTTCATAGTAATTTGGGGACAGAGAGGGTTAGAATACAGAAGGATGAAGGAAGAACTGTGGGAGTTTGTGAAATCCAAATATAGTAAATACTCTGAAATCCCAACTATTTCAGGGGTCAGGATACGTACTTGGAATGAGAGAACACAGACTAAAAATAATTGGTATAGCAAAAAAAAAAAAAAAAGAAGAAGATAAAGGAATAATACTAAGCAAAAGCCATCCTTCTGAATTACCGGTAAGAGCAAGAATGAGACCTTTGAATGTAGCCAAGGACCTGTAGTTAGGAAATCAATAACATAAATTCATAAGGTCAAATAATTATGCCCCCTACCTTCAAAGAGGTATTCACAGCTGCCTCATCTTTACGCACCTTGGAACATAGTGGTAGAAAATTTCAGGTAGAAAATTACTTTAAATTGTCTTTGGGTGCATTGCCAGATTGCAAATCCCAAACAGATTTACATGGCATCCAAGGAGATTTATTCAGGTTCAATCAGAGGATTAAGCAATGCCCACATGATTAGACTAGTCCTCCACAGCTACTTTTTAATGGCTGTATGGGTTAATCTGGTGCAAAGCAGGAGGCAGACCAAAGGGTCAGTAAAGTGCAAAGATCCAGCAATTAGATCACTGTATAAAGGATATTTGGAAAACTGATGTTACTACCACTTAAAAAAATTGTCCTGAATTTGGGAACAGGATGCCTGAGTTCACATCTCAAGTGCGTTTTCTCTCCAAAAAATGAGAATTATAAATGTTTCCTTTCAGTACAACTTAGTAAGTTAGTAAAATACTTCTATCTTATAATGAAATTACATTCTGTCTGCGTTGCCTTGAAAGCCAACTAAAAGAGCAGAGACAGACTACAGCCTGATCTGTAACAAATAGTTCCAGGTAGTATGTTATAGAAAATACCAAACCTAGTCAGAACCATGGGGGTTTTCATTCTACTGATTATATGCATTCTAAAACAGGACAGTTAAGCACAACCTTGACCTTAGGACAAATGCTGCCTTCATGATGCTGGTATTCTGTTTATAATGTATTCACTGATACCGTTCAAACCTGACTTTTGCTTATGGTCAGACCAGCAGCTGTTGACCTCTGAGAGACTCAAATCTTCCTTTGCAGAAGAACAGATGCTTTTGTGTAGATAGGACTTTCAATTGCGTATTTTATTAGCTTTACTTCTCCCCAACACTGAAGAGGAACATTTTCTGAAAAACATGAAAATTTTTCTGTCTTAAAATGGCAATCAAAACCATCTTCTATTATTTTACAAACTGAATTTCTGCACTGTTGAACAGAAGTCACTTCACTGCAGTTCAGTACCAATTGTCACTATTTTACCAATTTTGTTTACTATAGTTCTTAACATTCAGGTACCTATGTCTTAATATTTATTCTAAATCTTTACACGTAGAAAGACTTACTAGAACGATGTACTAAACTTAAAAAGGACTTCTATATTCTTCATAAATACTTCTTTCCAAACTGTAAACAAAAGAGCTTAAGTAAGCAACAAGTGCAAAATAAAACCTGGCCACCAAGCGGTACCTTGAAGTCTCGCTGGTATTTAAAACTACCAGGTGAATAATGGGATACGCATATGATCTATTAGCTTTAGAGAAGTCCGAGTACACCAAGCCACGTCCTTCCCTGCCGTTGTAAGTGCCGTCGGCCCTGTCCGTCTCTCTCTTTCTCCCCGTCTCTCTGGTTCGCTAGTTCTCTCACCGATGACCGAAATCTTTGAGCTCCCTCTGCTGCCTCGGTTATGTATAACACACTAAATACAGAAAAACAATGGGTTAAAAAAGACCCAGGATCGGCTGCAAAATGGCCCGGTGCCAACTTTACCGAACTTCACAGTTCTCAGTAAGGAAGAGGATTTTATCAGTGTGCAATGGGAACGTACAGTGTGCCGAGTGGGCAGCAGGAATCTGCTCTCCGGCTAGCGGATTCTCTTAAACTCACCCACATCTGCTCTAAATTCAGGAGAGACAGCCAAACCAAAATAAATTAGCTTAATCTGGTTTCCAGCTTGTTAACTGTGTCAACTTGTTTTTTACATTTCTTTCAACTTATTTAGAGTATGGGTTCCAGTTATTTCATATTCCCTTTCTTCGTCTCAAAAGACAAATCAGATGGTTCGTAGTGGGGAGAAGGCATGCCACCTCTTGCTAGGAAGCTGTGATGCTAGTTGAACCTAGGCAATTTTAAGTGATCACGTCAGGAACTTAATTTATGTCATGTATGCTCTGAGGAGGCAGAAAAAAAGTAAATCGCATAATTTAAAACTCCCTTAAACCAACTTTCATCATCGGCACCACTTAAGGTCCAGCCTTGCCAATCTTTCTATGTTATTGAGCCGAATGGTAGTACCTGATCTGTATATGTCTTGATGATATTCACAAAGTGAGGATTTCATACTCATCCTCTAGCCAAGTAAAACTCTTACCGTTTCGCACATATAAAGGAAAACCTAGGTCCAGTCTTATATTTTTTACCTGTTGCTACTATTTTTTTTTTCACACAAGGATTTAGAAATCTTAAAGCATAGGAGATTAAACAAATGTGGAAGTCCAGAATAAAATTAATGTTTTACTATATTAAATTAACATAACATATGAACATAAATTAACATCTGAAGTTTTTTATTTAAGATAAAGAGCAACATACGTAAGCACACTTAACCTTAAAAATCTGACAAATCAATCGGATTACTTGGACATATAAAGTTAAATGTATATTGGCAATATGGGAACCATATCCTACTGGAAACCAAATCATTTGCTTATTGGTGCACTGGAACTTAGATTTCAGGTCTTATCACAACATCCTCAAAAATTCCTTGGGGGGGGGAGGGTTTGTAGCTGAAGCTGTGCTCAGCTTGTATTTGCACTGTATCTCCTAATGCTAACAGATTTCCTGATTGTCAGGAGCAGTGTCCTATATATTGTTGGCAGTTACCAACAAAAAGAAACGGAGACATTATTCAGTCTCACAGGGTGAGAATAACATCAGTGCCAACATTTTCAGCTACAAATGTTCATAGACAAAATACTGAATAGATGAAGCAAAGGCTACAGAATAGTTAGGCTATAGGGCCGATAGTAGGCCATACCAAAAAGCCTCCTTTTATTCTGGTAAATATGACTGACCAACTTCCTCAAGGTTTTCTGAGTTTTAAAGGTCAGGAACAACACTTTGATCTTAATGCAGATTTACAGCAATATCTACTAAGTATGTATGGATATGCTTAGCATAATGCATGTGCTAAAAGTGCATTGAAAGGGACGCTTACTGAGAGACCTAATGGCAAATGACAACGCTGCAGACAATTAACATATTAAAAAGCATATGTCTGTTATTTGTTCCTGCCACATTTTTGCTGATGGGTATTTCTTCACTCAGTGAAAATAACTGTGTTATCCTGAATGTTGTTAGGAAGCAGGCAATAGATCTTTCTGTACTCCCAGCATTAATGAGATTATTTTACATTTACAAATAAAATGTGCTTTTAACCTACATTAACCCATTTTTAAGCAATCATAATTACTCTCCTTTCACAAGTCACAGGTCTTTAATTTCATTTGCTTCATCTTTCTTCAAGTGAGCATTTCTGTTTATGTTCTGTTCTACCTATTCTAGGTTGTCTTTAAGTAGAGTGCTTGAAAGGAGTGTTCACTTCTATATATTGCAAAGCTTAACACTGAATAGTTTCACCAAATATTTTTCCTAAATGAACCATTTAGTTGATTGTTTCAAATACAAGGAAATATATGCCTTTGGTGAAAATATGCTGAAAAATTCTGTGTAATGGATATACCAATATGTTAACACTGAAGTGACGGGCAGAAATATCTACGTTGCACAATTTTTATCTCAGATGAGTGAACATGCAATAAACGCCACTCTACAGTTTCAAAATTAAAAAAAAAAAAAATCCATTTTTCCCTATTTGACAATTAACACCCTTATATCAAAGCACAGAGAAGTCAGCAAGTTGTTCTTGTATGAGTTTGGAAGGTGGATTATTTAACATCTTTTATTTTATCATAAACTTGTCTCTGCCACCCTGAGCCTGGGTCACGGAGTCAGGAGTAGACAGAGGTGTTTCAAATTCTAGCAGGTCTGCAGCTGTTCAGTTTGTTACATGACCAGATTAAT